GAAGTCTAATTCATGTAAAGACTTTGCACTCGCCACTCGATAGCTGTTAATGCTAACAATCATGGATCAACTTCTTTCCTAAAAAATATATCTATTTTGAGTTAATTTTTCAATATAATGATTAATAATAAATAGATATACGATGCAGCATAATTAAGTTACTATAGAAAAATAATAAGTCATGTACATCTCATGCAGGTTTTTCCAGAAGCAAGTTTTCAAACGCTTATAGAAAAGTACTATTGGCCAATACTAAATACAACCTCTACAAAAAATGGCAGTTACTATAATAAGCACCACCCACATTTGTATTGTAAAATCTAGAGAACAACGTTTCGTCATGTGCTTTGCTTATCCTATGATTTGCTAAACGTGAAATAGAGCGATTGTAATAATATGGTACTGAAATTGACACCTTTGACTAGGATTGGCTAAAAGTTTTACAACTGATGTTTAACATGCCCAGACGCTGTTTTATAAAGAAAACAGACTAGAAAAAGGTTTAGATACCTTATTAAAATTTTCGAAAAATTTTCTTTTTAGAGGGTGCTTATTTACAGTCTCAAACTTATTTTAGGATTATTTTATTAAATTCCTCTTTAAACTTCATTAAATAATCCAATTTTGTATAAATAATTGAATGTTATGCTACTATTTACAAAAATAAAATCTGAAATCCAATAAAAGATAAGTTCTCTATAATTTTCTTCAATTCATAAATGTGATTTTGCCCTCATGATAAGACAAAATGCCCATAAGCCCCATAATTCTACTCCCTGAAGTTCTATAGAAAGATACCAGTTTTTTTCTTCTAATTCTCATTTACTGAATGAACAATATGTGGAAGTTTCCTGCCAAGTATATTTTTCAACACAAATGTGGGAAGAAAAATTCAAATATGAAAATTAAAATAAAGAAAGTTGAATTGAACTAAATTTGTGAAATGTTAACAAACAATGGGAAGAAAATTATGAATTGGAGAATATTGGAGAATGAAAAGGATTCAAATATAAACGCAGGAAGAAAAAAACTAATATGAGAAGCTGAATTAAAACTATTTCCTTTTAAAAAGAATTGAATTGAATTAAGTTCAGGAAATGGCAACAGACAAGTCAGTTAAAAAAATTGGGACATTGGGGTAGCTATAGAAGTAATAAGGTAATGGAGATGCTTGACTGGTACGTTGAGGTCTCTGTTAATCATGAGGAGACCTTAGAATCCTGCAGTGGAGCATGGGTATTTTATGCTAGTTACACTTAATACAACTTTAATAAATGTACTGATAGTAATTTTTACAAAGAATCGGATATACTTTGCAAAATGGATGATTTTTTTAAATTTCTAAACAAACATTGATTCAACTGTATTACAGCTGTGGTTTGAGAACAGAACTAAAGACTGGGAATTTGAAGGTGCTCCATATACTACACCATATCCATAAAAATAAAGTAAATGCTTGTGTTTATTTTTATGTAATAGGGATTGGGCTCTTAAGTATTTTTTAACTCAGCAAGCAGTGAAATGTGTTGCAATTTAAGTATGTATTATGAAGTGAAATTTGTTTTATTGAATTATGAAAGTAAATTTAATACTGGATACAAACTTTTAATTAGCATATTTCTATATAAACTTGAATACTTCATATAACATAGCTATTCAGGAATCTGTTTTTGTGTCATAGTTTGTATTAATATTCATGTGCTTACTTTTTCAGTTATTCAGTGATCATTATTTCTGTTACTGCCACAGTATTTCACAAAATGGTGTATTTAGAAAATATTTATGGAGAAAAACAAACAAACATTGTAATTGTATAAATAATCAAGTTTATTTTTGTTTTGCAACCAGGCAGAACAGGTCAAGCAGCTATTATACCCAAAGAAGCGAGGTGGGAAAGGTGACCCTATTGCAGCTTTACAGCGAGATGTTTTTGGGGTTACAGACCCAAATTTTGATGAATCTGAAGTGAAAGCTGTATATAACATGCAGCTACAGCAGCTAGAACAACTAATACTAGAACAGCGAAAAGTTCAGTTGCACTTAAGAGATCAGTTATTAGAAGAAAATGAACGAGCTGGCAAAGTAAGATTGAAATTTTTATAAAGGAATTGAAATACTTGTTTAACTCTATGCCATCTGGCTTGGTGCATCCTGCCCCAAGGGCAAAATTGTACCAATGAATTAAAATCATTGTAGAAAATAAACTTTTAGGTATTTTTCCATATATTTTTGTTTTTTAATTACTTCATGTTTGAAATTTATTCAGTAAAGTTTTATTTAACTTTGTACATAAAGAATTTTTAAAATTGTTAACGTGTTAGTGTTATCATAATACGGCACTCATATCCTGTAGGAGGAAAGTCAACAAATTTTTGAACAAAACAACATGAATTTGAAACTTCTAATTTCAATACAGTGAGTTTTATTGACTTTAGTTAATCACTTTTTTTTTTAACCTTGGTTGACACATTGTGATGTGATTATCTATATCTGAGCTTCAAACCATAATAGGCTAGTGATTTAAACATGTAATGCAAGCTCATTTCAACTGTACAAGCCAGTATGAAACAAAATGATAAAACCTCAGTGCAGTATTATGTTGCAAAAATAAAAGATATATGTGAACAGGTCTGATTTTAGCTTGCTTTATTATGTTATACTTCATTTTAATCATGAAGTTATAGTATGATATTTTGAAATGATTTTTGTTGAAGAAGAGACAGGCTTAGTCAAATAATTTTGCATCAGACCATATCAAGTATTCAAATATTTGAAAGTTAAATGAAAATGTGACAGTATGTCTTCACTAGGGAGTAGTCATGGCATTAAAAAATAACTTAACAGAATCTTTAGTATTGCTTTAGCATAATATTTTCTAATCTATTTTAACTATTATAGTATTGAAATAGTGTATTTTATGAATTAGAAATAAACTATTGTATTAAAATAGTGCATTTTGAAACATTTTGCAAAGCAATTTTAAGAAAATATATTAAACTGGAATTTGTAATAGTTTTGTTACCTCTGCCACCAAAGCTGACGAAGGTTATGTTTTCACCACTGTGTATGTGCGTGCGTGTTTATCAGCAAGATTTCTCAAATGGTTGAATGGATTTGGATGGAAGTTGAAATACATTTGTACAATGATCCAACTTGGAAATGATTAGTTATTGAAGGGTCAAGGTCACAAAAATCCAAAAAAATCCCTATCTGTCAACTATTTTTGTTCTATAACTCAGTCAAAAATGATTAAATTTTGATGAAACTTGGTGGACATATGTAGAATATTATTCTTCATTGTCCTGCCAAAAATGGTCAGTGTTCGTTAATAATGATGGACATACGGACACATTTTTGTATTTTTTGAGGGCCGAATATAATTAACAATGCGTGGCAGAGGTATGTGCTCTACTGAGTGCTCCCTCTAGTTATATGTATATTTACTTACAATCTGTGGGGGCATTATAATGTGAAGGTCAATCTAAATACTTGTTTGTAAAGAGTAGCAAAGAGTTGGCAGTTGGCGGTGTTGACATGGTTTGATGGCTAGGGTATTTGACTCTCAATCTATGTGTCATGGATTTGATTCCTGTCACTGGAAATGCTTGCATTTTCAGCCATGTAACATTATAAGGTTAAGGCCAACTCCACTTTTTGTTGGTAAAGAGTAGTCCAAGAGTTTATGGTGGGTGATGTTGACTAGCTGCTTTCCTTTTAGTCTATCATTTATAAATTAGGAATGGCTAGTGCAGAGAGTCTTTGAGTAGTTTTGTGTGAAATTCAACAAAAAACAAGTAAGACTTTAATATATGCACATCTTTCTTAAGATTTCTCACAGATTATACTGTTAAAAAATGTTGAGAGGATTTTTCCCTCATGAACGTTTTTATCTAAAAAAAAATAATAATTTGTATGAGTTTTACAACCTTAGACCGCACATTTCAGAATTTGCTAGATTAGTTAAGGTTCATGTTTTTAACATACCAAAATGACAGTTTGCAGAGTTTGCACTTGTTGCTAGCTTCAATTAATCAGACAGATAATAGTGTCTGTGCGTGATCCAGTGTTATAAGATATCTATGGTTGGAAGTTATGATGGAAAAAAGAAAGCTTAAGGGTATTTTTTGTCCTAGGAAATTGGCCAAAACATTATTCCTTATTGTAAAAAGTGCTATTCGTGAACAAATAACTAAATTTTATGTTTTTGAAAGTTTTAACCATCTGGCCTTGGTACATCTATCTGCTCTTATAAATCTATGATTTCCTCAGTCTAAAAGGCATACATGTAAGATTCATGATTCAGTATTTTTCTTTTGATCACCTATAGTATTTTTGAGATAAGAAAAATGTTTAATTCTCAGTTTTTATTGTTAGATTGTGGCAGAGCTAGAGGACGAAAAACGGAAGCATGCTCAAGACACTGCTCAGGGAGATGATGTTACTTATATGCTAGAGAAAGAACGAGAACGACTAAAACAAGAGCTAGAGTTTGAAAAACAACAGAATAAAAAATTAGAGAAAGAATTAAAGAAACTAACAGAGACATTAGAAAAAGAACAAAATAGACAAAAAGAAATTGTCTTGCTTTTGCTGGCAGAGAGGAAACGTCTGATTGTTCGTTTGTTGGAAGAAAGGCAACAGTCGGAGGAATTAACAGAGGTATGTCAAAACATCCAACTTGAGATTGAGAATGAAGTGAAAGTGTTATGAACTCCTTTTTCAGCATAATATGCTAAAAAATGTTTTAGTTTCAGAATTTCATGAGAATATTGCTATAAGTAACCAGTATAACTCAAAGTATTCTCAGCTTTTGTAGACAGTTTGGAATATCTATACAAGTAGTCATGTGACACATTAAAATTTTAAGATCAAATTTTCATTGATATTTAATTTTAAATTGAAACAGTAATGTTTTGTATTTACATTTGCATTTTTTGCTTTTTATATAGAATCATAATACTTATGTTTAGATATATTGGAATGAAATTTTGCATCTTACAGATAAGCATACACAAAAATATTTACTGTGCCAAGACAAGTCTTTAGGTCTTTCTATCAATAGAAAGAATTGCTCTTATGTTAGTATTGCTTTTGTTGATATTGTAAAGTTAGTTTTAGCCAAGTTGTAAATTTATGACAATCTATAGAACTTAAACTTAGATATTAATAAGTAATTATTTAATAGGTCATTTCGAAAAAGTAATATTTATGGACCATTCAATAATAGTAAGCATTTGTGTAGCTTAACTTTTAGGTAGAAACCAATTGATATTTATTCTAAACAACAATATTCTCATCACATATTGGAGAAGAAACAATTTCACAGTGAGTTATAGAACTATCCATACTGTCCTTGAACAAAAAAACAATGGTAAACTGAATTAGGGTGAGTGTGGACCAAATTAGTTTCACTTCTACATCATATATACATAGTTTTCACATTCTCAGAAAAATATAAGTTACATTTATTACACTCTGAGTATTTCTATAAATATAGCTATCCTCTTTCTGTATGAGAATTGGAAAAAATATTGTTGATATTGTTTTAAAGTTGTTCTTTTGTTGATGGGTTCTTTTAAATTATCTGGTGAAAATGATTCAATATCCAATCCATGTAACAATAACAAATTAACTTAATTACCTCCTTAACCCTATGGCCATCAGCACCATTTTTAAATTCCTTTCTGCGTATGTACTGTTATATTTATAATTTAATTAAACCACTTTACTATAAATATATGAATATATCATATGCTATAGTTTGAATTTTTATGTTACCTAAGTTTTAATTACTTTGTTTCAAAGAAAACCTTTCAAAAAATACTTCAATTCCAGTTTTCATGTCACATGATCCACGTGCTTTGAAAAATCTCAACTGTAGCCCCGTGTGTCTCTGAGACACACAAGCTGGCATGTGCAGGCAGTTTACTCACACTAAGTACATATGTTTGACCTCATTGTCACGTGAGAGCTGAAGTCTGTGTTGTCTGGGAAACAGATATAAATTTTTCAATCCTTGACTGTTGCCACACTCACCTTCTATACTTTGCCTTGAGATGTACAACATACTTGTAGTTAGTTGACACAACTGTATATAGTTGTTAGAAAGAGCTCAGTTTACACTTTACTCTACCATTGGTTAATTTGGAATTGGCATGCAGTTTTCCTTACAGTGTATATGTAACTGCCTTTTGTATTGTTGTTTTTTTTATCTAATATAGCACCTATGGTGGTTTCTTACTTAAATATGCTACAATTAGAGAGACAGTTGAACTGTATTTAGGTCTATCTTTTATATTTTAGTTAATTATGTATTATGTTTGTTTTAAAAAGCATATTTGAAGAGTTTAATGATTTTTATAAGTTTAACTTGACACATGGACTTTGAAAGGTTATAAACAAGATGGCAATGTGTAAGTGCCATCTTGTTTCAGCAATGCGTCTCTGCAGAGAGTCTGCCGAAATAACTTCATAAAGCCCTGTGGGCATCAGTTATTGTATGAACATAAATGATAATAGACAAAGAATTTGAAAGGAAAATTAGAAATTAAAAAGTAAACTATATGTGAAAAGATAAAGACTTGAAATTACACATTAAAAAAAAAAATGACTATTCTAGTGGATCTCTACGAAGAGGTAAAAGGTATGTACCTATTTCCATTTGTTATTTTAAACATTTCATTGCAATGTATGTTGATGATAGTAGATAGAGTTAATGATATAATAGAGAAAATGGAAAATAAGATATAAATATTTACATTAAAAAACTTTTGATATTCATTTACGAGGTCCTAGAAATTATAGGAATGAAATGTGAAAATTGTAAGATACAAAATAGTATTTTTATACTTCATATAAAAATCACCTTGGAGGTGAACTATTCAAAGTGCGAGTGCAAATAACTACATTAAATTATAAAATTTTTTATTAGAAATAGTAGAAAAAAATCTGATTTAAATGTTTTATTTTTTGAAACTATATGTTTTTATAAACTTTTTGGTCAAATTTTAAACAATTTCATCTTCTAGTTTTATTTTTGGAACGAAATATGACTAGAGCGATGTTACATACTATGAATCACATCACGTGGTTGCCATAAGATTAATACTTCTTTACATGCTTGTACACTTTGTAACTTGTAGGGCTATGTTTATTGTCTGGTATCTGCACTAGTACGAAGTAACTCAGTATATGCAATAGGTAACATAGATCAAAGAATGCAAACTCACTGACTCATTCAATCTATTGGCTAGAAAACAACTCTCTATCTGGATGTTTCACAGTAAGCTTACTTGTTTATTAACTGGCTCACTTGTATTTATATCTAATCGTTGTTCTAGGTATTTCATAAAGTCTTTAGGTTTTGTGAAGTCAACTTAGAATGTTCTAGGCCTACTCTCACAAACTTGCTTGATCTTAACATTGTCTTGCACCCTCTAGCGAATGTCTAAATTACAGCATTGAAAAATATAGTTTATAACTATATTTTTGTTATAATTTATAGTGATATAACTTAAATAACTAAGAAAGCCAAGATTACTATAAAAAATGTTTAAGCATAATTATACAGAAAGATATAGAATAGTCAAAAACCTTATTCATCAAACTTCTAATTCAACTGGCAGCAGGCAATTACACTATTTTTCCTAAATTTACAATATAAAGGACCTATGTACCCTCGTATCAAAATTAAAGGGACACTTGAGACTTTGCTTTTGATATTTAAGAGTATTGCTAAAGATGAACAGTTATATTTAGTTGATGGATTATTATTGTGTTAGCATTGTTTTGATAGCTACTTCTAAATTAAACAAGTTATTGTTACTATTATACATCACTTTTTAAGTTTCCAAAGCAAAATAGTAAGTAATCTGTGTGGAAGTGGCACAGTAGATGTATGTAAATTAGCTGTGCTTAACTTAGAATGTCTTGGGTGACACATCAGTAGTATATCTGTCTATCTATATAAGCCACTGTGTTTGTGATGCTACCATTGTTTTAATGTTCCACTCTCTGTTTGTAACACTCACTTTGTTGGTAACATTCCAATTGGCTCAGTGGTTAGTTTCAAGTGAAAGTATTGCGTTCAAATCCCAGTTGATTGGGGATTTTATATAACTCTTTTTTTTCCTCAATTATTAAATCATCATGTTTAGAGCAAGATCATACAATATTAGTAAAAACCAGAATAACATGATAATTTAAAATTAGGAATTTGAATTATTTATTAACATTTGATTATAAAGACTGGGTGTCACATTGGTTATAGCACATGACTATCATGTGGAACCCTCATGTTCAAATCCCAGTGAGTCAGGATTTTATGCTAATGTTTTTTTAATTATTATTTAGTTATTATGATACTTGCAGTAAGCTCTTTGACTATCCAGAAAATATTAATACTATTACAGATTAAATCGGGGATCATATCATATTACATATAAACACCAATTATCTGTGTCAAAAACAACTTAAATATTTTTTCAACCAAATAGATGGCGCTACAATACATTATTATTGATGTTTGTCAACTTAGGTAAGAGATTTTTAAGAATTTCGTAGAAACTTTTATAAGCATTTTTTTATGAAAAGTTGTACATTCATGTATTTCCCCTTCACCCTCAAATTATTTGCCTTTGTCATCACAATTAATAAATCACAGGATCAGACATTTGAACATGTAGGAATATTTCTTTGAGAACCAGTTTTAATTTGGGCATGGTTCATTCTTAAGGCTTTATCAAGAAGCGGGTTTGAACATAATATAACTAGAATTTTGACCTATGTGAATTTTTAAGGACAACTTACAGGAGATGACCAAATATACACAAAAAAATGTTGTTTTAATAAAATACTAGAAATAAGAATGTCATTTTCCATACACATATTGTTATTAGATTACAATTAATATTTAGAAAACATGCTCATAAAACATTTATTTAGATTTAATTTTCAGAAACAAATTTAATCTGCATTTACGATCATATAATAGACACTCAGCTAGTTGATATCAAATTCTCCTCAGTTATATTAGTACATTTATTTTGTGTGTATTTTATTACTTGACAGTAATGTAAGTCGTATGATAAATGCTCTTCATATACCTTTTCCTATGTATAAACTTATGATATATACAATAATGAGCCATAAGCAACACAAAGAAATGTAAGAATAGTCATGCTCCTGGCCACAATCAGCATGTCTTGTGCCTCAGTTGCTTGACATGATGGTGAGGCTTGTCAATGCTATAGACATATTTTTAGCCTTGTTTGGGACGTAGTAGAATTCTAGTAGTTCTGATTGGGCAGACGATAAATAATTGTGATAATTTTTTTATTACTTAAAACGATTTAGAAAGACCGTTTGGTAAAAAAAAAAAAGAAGAAAAAAAAGCCTACTAGTGGAAATTTGTATTTTACAGGATACTATTTTTAAGGAAAAACACTTGAATTTGGGATTCCTATGATCTCACATTTTTGGTACAATGCTACAGTTGCCTGTCAGTTCCATTAACTCTTTCAGCACGGGCTTGGTCCTTGGGATTGACCTCGTAACTATTTTGTGTTTGTTATAGTTTTCATGATATAACTTTGAAATTAGTAAGTGTATGTTCACAAAATTTGGCAGATTATCAGTAAACATTACAAGGCTTTTGGAGTTCGTATCCCCGTCCCACCAAACATGCTCACCCTTTCAGCTGTGGGGGCATTATAATGTGATGGTCAATCCCACTATTCGTTGGTAAAAGAGTAGCCCAAGAGTTGGCAGTGGGTGGTGATGACTAGCTGCCTTCCCTCTAGTCTTACACTACTAAATTAGGGACGGCTAGCGCAGATAGCCCTCGTGTAGCTTTGCGTGAAATTTAAACAAACAAACTCTCTTTTCAATCTATCCCAGTAAAAATGCATAAATATTAAGAAAATTAATCTCGGGAAAAACAGGAGAATGCGTAAAATTTAATTCAGAATCAAAGAGCTTCCAGGGCCCTAAGGCGAACCCTGGACCCCGGCCGTAATGGTTACGCCTATGGTACGCATTCACTTGTTTCGCAAAATATCAATTTTTTTTTTTTTTATATTAAGTCTTAAGGCTTGATAAGCAATGCTTTCTCATGCCTTTTTTTCTTTTTGCATGTTGCCTATCCAATATGCGAAGTAATTTTTATTTTAAGATTAAAAATACTTTTATGCATCAGAAGATTTTCAAATGTCAGATGCAAAATCTTTATAATGTCCAGACAGTTATCAAATGTTTCTTTCAAAACAATCTTTATATTTTATCTGTTATTTTCACCAACAAATCTCTGTACGGGTTTGGTTGATTTGATCTATCTTGTAACCATCATCATAAAAAAAAAAAATATATATATATATATATATATATATAAATAAATTATGCCTTTTTTGTTGTAGAATGAATATGGATTATAACACAAAAACACAAATGTTTAGACTAAGTAGCTTAAATTTTATAACATTATACATTTATATATATTTATTATTTTTATTATCTTGACCTTTCAGCCATGCTTGGCTAACAATACAGAAGTTACAGTGACACAGTGCATGTGCACTCATGTTACCTTATCCAATAATATAAAACTGACCTTTAGTCTTTACAAAGTGACCTGTCTTGGCTGCATTTTAGTGGACTAATATTTTGTAAAATACAGTCACATTTCAATTATTATATATAATATATGTATATACGTTATTACTATTTACAAATAACTTCGTAAACCTATTTTTCTTAAAATATAGAACTGTAAATAAAGAACAAAAACAAACAGTTATCTCTTCTACTTATGATCTTTGTACTCGTTTACTGCTTTCCTTATGTTGTTAAGCCTTATTAAATTTCACATGTGGAGGATGTGAAACGAAATAATTTTTTTTTAGGTTTTATAACGAGATGACATGGCCTTTGACTCGTGACCTGTGTCAATAGGGTTAAACAATGTATTACATTTTTGACTAAAACATTTGTAAATCTGAAATATATTATTTATTACATATAACACGCTATTTCTAACATAAAAATGTTTTTTTAATATTACTTTAGAAAAAATAACCATTCTTCCTTGTTATCTTTTCTAGTTGCCCCCCAGTGGCACAGTGGTATGTCTGCAGACTTACAACGCTAGAATCAGGGTTTTGATACCCATGGTGGGCAGAGCACAGATAACCCATTGTGTAGCTTTGTGCTTAACTTCAACATCTTTTCTAGTTCTTCATTGTTTCTTATTCTCCAAACCTTGTTATTTACCAGTTTTTTCGTTCTTTACTCAAACAAACTTGAAATTCCCATTCTTTTTTTTCACCTTCTTGATTTCATACAATAATTTATTTGATAATGGTGTTAACTATTCATTTAGTTATATTTTACTGTCTTTAAAGTTTGTATCTATAGCTTCTGCTTTTATTGTTATTGTTATAGCTAATCTTCTTTCAGCCAATTGCCCATTATAAATATATTTCTAAATTTTACAATTATTGGTTTTATCTTTTTTAATCTTACTTATTGTTGGTTCTCTTTGAAATTCCTGGATATATTCCTCTTTGATGCAACCTTCTGTATTACTTCTTACACATTTTCACCTTGCCTTTCTGGAATTTTTAATACTATGACTGCTACACGATTAGTTCTTCTAGATATTAATTTCAGATCACGTATCTGTTGTTTTACTTTCCCTAGCTCTCCTTTCATTTCAACATTCACTTTTTTTATTTCTATATTTTTATTTATCATCCCTTTAATTTCCTGTGTTAATGCAGTCATAGCCATTGGAAACTCATGTACTTGTTTTGGACATGAATTCTGCCGAGTGTTTCAGTTCTTGAATATAATTTTTCAACCCCAAAATATTTTTTCTCAACTTAGTTTGAATTCCTGTGTGTTTACTATTCCAACTCTAAGCTTCAACACAGTTATGAACATTTTTCTCATCACACTTTAACTCCCATTCTTCACTTTTAATTGGCTCAGTTAATTTATGCTTAATATTATCTGCCAAGGATTTTTCTTGAAATGTAAATAGATTACACTTAAATTTCACCCTTTTTCTCTCTTGTTTGTTTTCTGAACTGTTTTTCATTGTTCCCAGCACAGTAAAAGTGTAAAAATGCTTTATATTGCACACACACACTCCAAAAAATGTAAATTCTTGAATCTTCTACCACACAGCTTGCACATGTCTGCCAACTTCAGATATATTGGAAGAAAAAAAACTTAAGTGTCCATAAACACACATTTAAATTAGCAAATTTATTTGATAAAGAAGTAAAAGTAAGACTTTGCATAAACTGCATAAACACTCCATAGCTAAATCCACCCCAAAAGATTAGCTTATTACTGTTGTAGGTATGTATTTTTGCCATGTAGGTTTGTTGATATTGCAATATTAGCTGAAGATATAACTGAAAATGTGTTTGTACCTGTAAAAACTAAAGATATCTTTGGATGCACTTTTGCAATGCGTTTATTAATGTTACCAAATTTAATCAAGATTAAGGTTTTTATCATTTTATATTGAGACTTCTGGAACCTATGTGTTTTTCTGACATCATTAATAAGGTTTACATATTGTTAACATAAATTTTGAAATAAATTTTTTTTTATTATTATTATTTGAGTATGTTGACAGTTTACTTTGTTTAGAACTCTTAAAGAGTATATGGATGAATTTAATTTTAAAATAGTCTAATAGTTTTTTGGCACTAAACGGATTTTTCTTCTAGATTTTGAATCATGAAAAAGCACAAATTGCTGAGATGGTGGAAGGCTTAGAAGAAGAAAGTCAGAAGTCTCTTCAGCTTGAAGCAGAGCTGGAAAAACAGCAGGCAGAATTCAGTCAACAGAAGGAGCATTTCCAAAAACAGTTGTCCACAGCTGGAGACAGAGAACAAGAACTAATAAGTGAACTGGAAAAATTGCGAGAAGAAGATATATTTCTTCGTAGGCAACTTGGTGGAAAGGGAGATGAACTTTTGCCTGGTGGTCCCATTCCTGTAAACTTGGGTGAAGGTGTTCGGAGCACTATTGTGACAATGGTTTCTACTCCCCCTCGTTCTATTTCAACTGTGTCTCCAACAGTTAGTCCTCCAAGAAATGTTGCTAGAGCTGTTAGCCCTAAGCCAGGGCTACCTCCTGCTACTCCTGCTAAACCCCCAGGTTTAGTGCCTCAAATACCCCATAAACTAGCAGTACCTATAGCAACAAGCATTCCTCCTAAGCCAAACATACCCCCATCATTAACTGGGGCTCAGTCTCATCCTACTCCCCCTCTACTTGCTGTTCCACAACCTACTGTGCCATGCTCATCACCAAAATCACCTGTTAAACATTTCCCCCATAGCACTTCACCTGTTCCACCTCATAGGCCAATATCTTCTGCTATTCCACAGGAAATAATTATGGGTGAGTCACTTGCTGGGCATGTTAGCACTGCACATTCTCGAAGTGTCACTTCTGCAGTTGCTGCCACCTCAGTATTCCACACAGTTGAACGAACAGTTACCATGGTGACATCACAAATACATGCGGCTGGAGCCGACACTGTAGCACAGACTCAACAGGGAGGAAACATTCCAGCCACCACTGCTGAGTCTAACTTGGCAGCAGCTGTCAGAAAACCTGTTCCAGTGGGTCGAGGAACACCACCTCCAGTACCACCTAACAAGCCAGTATTACCTCCGCAGGTGTTATACAGGAAAGAAATTGGACCAAGGCCCCCTGTTCCACCTCGTAGTGATGTAATAACTGATGGTCGTACAACCCAGAAGATGACTGTTTCAGGAACTCGATTTGGTGTAACTGTTACAAAAAATAAAGTATTGACAAAAGGCCCTGGTTCAGGAGTGGATGGTCCTGAAGTGGCTAGAGTGGAGGGTCAGGTGGGTGGTGCATTAAAGGAGGACCACTGTGGTGCTCCTACTGGTAGAGAGGACACCGTCAATCTGAATGGCTCCTCAGGGATGGATATGATAGATCAAGAATTGGCTGATTTTCAGGAACTTTTGGTTTCTATGGTAACAGGTAATGATGATAAAACTTCTTGTGTGTCTCAAGATCAGAAGTGACACTGTTAAATGCCACTGTACATAAGAACTGGCTGTTAACCAAATTATATCAAATATAAGTGCAGTTACAATAGTTAGGAAGCTTGTCTATTATGTAAACTGTTTTGTAGAAGTTTTATCATTATAAACATCATTTCATATAGTACATGAGCAACAGAAACCAATCCAAATATTCAAAATTCATGCAGCTAAGCAGAGGCTGCATTTATTTTAAGAAAGAATTATTCATCAGTTTGTTTATGCACTTTTCTACTCTCATTTATACATTCTATTACGTTAGAAAATGTAGTGAATAAAATATTTTGAGTTTCTGAAACCTCAGAACAGTAAGCATGCACACAACTAGAATATCTTGTAAATATGACACTTGTGTTTTTCTAAACTATGTAATCAAAATTCCATGTAAATGTATAGAAATTAATTCCATGCACCAACCCATGTACAGTACTTGATTCCAGTTGTGCATATGTAAACTTGAAAGGTAAAGCCCCACAATAAAAAGAACTGAGGAGGTTGAACTCTATCACACACACTTCTAATTTTTTTTTCAGTTTATAACTTTCGTTTTGCAATCTAACAAAGTACAACCAATGTTTAGGTGGAGTTATGTTCACCGTTCATTGAGGGAAAGAAAAATGTAAAGTATTATAAACCAAATCAGTTTTATAATGAACTTTTACAAGAGTATTATTTAAGATATTTAGAATTTGATATTTTAAAACATGCTGTATCGATTAGGGGTGTACAGTAAGGTTTTAACAAATTTTGGATTTGGCTGTCACATCATTGGTGTAGTACATGGTCACAATTCATTACTTCACACAGATAACTATATATATTTTTAGATTATATTTAGTAAGTGTAGTGAATATTCATTCACTATCCTTACCTTCATGTGTACCTTCTGCTGCTGTGTTCTAACCTGTGACCTAAGTATTGGATCTAATCATTTCTCTTTGTTCCTTCCCTGTGGAGCCTGACTAACATTGGTGGTGGCCTAACTAACCTTTTTTTCTCTTTTATTAGTTCTAATTTTTAGAGAGAGTGTTACTCATATGGTATGAGTAAAAGGGTATGAATGTGAGATAGCATGTTTGTGAACAGGTATGTACGATTAAATAGTAATTTCTGTGTTTTAAAGGTGTGTATACATGCATCTCGATAAAAGTTTCTGCATTTGTTAAAGAGACAAACAAGAAATTTACTTTCTCTATTACTGAACAGTATATAATAATAATAATAATAATAATAATTGTTCATGTATCAATATTAATTATTTTGTTATATGTCAACTATAGTACTATTCATGTATCAATTAAACATATATACTAGAAGGCCAAAGTTTATGAACTTGATAGATTTTAAAATTTCAAAAGGAATTTTTTTTTTATCCTTCCAATTTGAAATTTTAACTTCACTCAGTTCAATTTTTGTGTTTTAATTACTGTATCTCTTGGATGTTAGACCTCATGTTAGTCATTTCTCACACACACAGACACACACACACACACACACACACACACACACACACACACACACAC